TATCTCTCCTCATTTGTTGGGAACATGACGTTATATTGAGGAATGGAGATGGACCTTTCATATGGTGTCCAGTATCTCCTCCTCATTTGTTGGGAACATGACGTTATATTGAGGAATGGAGATGGACCTTTCATATGGTGTACAGTATCTTCTTCCCATTGGTTGGGAACATGACATTATATTGAGGAATGGAGATGGACCTTCCATATGGTGTCCAGTATCTCCTCCTCATTTGTTAGGAACGTAACGTTATATTGAGGAATGGAGATGGACCTTTCATATGCTGTCCAGTATCTCCTCCTCACTTGTTGGGAACATGACGTTATATTGAGGAATGGAGATGGACCTTCTCCTGGGTGCTCAATCGCAGCCCCCTTTAGCTGCAGAGGCAGCACCTGGGGGTGTACATATGCTGCGGCCGTGATGCTTTTCTTCACAGCCGTGGCATGAATTATACCCCTTACCGATCATGACCCATTCAAGTGAATGGTGCTGCTCACAACTGCATACAATGCACATGGTTGCGACACGCTAATGTGTGGTTGAAGGGGTCAAAGCAGGCAGTGAGGAGGCGATACAGCACCTCCTTAGCACCTGTCAAATATTGTCTGAGAAACTATCCAAAGGCTGTTCGCTCTTCAGAGACCAAAGTTTGAGCAAACCCTAAATTATTAATTTTTTTAATCTTTTTTTTTTTTTTAGTATCTTATTTTTTTTAGCAGCCCTGATTTCACACTTGAGACAGATTCCCCAGTCCTTCTCTTTGCAGCTTCAGCTGCACTGGACAGTGAACGAATGGGAAGTGCTCTTTGCCGAGCAGCTTCCTGTTCATTTACATACTGACACATAGTAAACACAGTTGGGAGGCAGGATGGAGCCCTATGGAGGCTGGTTCTGTCTCCTGCTGAAGATGAGGAACCAGATGGAGTCCTTTGGAGGCTGGTTTCCTCTCCTGCAGAAGATCTGGAACTGGATGGAGTCCTATGGAGGCTGTTGCCCACTCCTGGAGAAGATCAAGAACCAGGTGAAGCCCTTTAGAGGCTGGATCCCTCACCTGCAGAAGATTAGGAACTGGATGGAGTCCTATGGAGACTGTTTTCCTTTCCTGCAGAAGATCTGGAACCAGATGGAGCCCTATGGAGGCTAGTTCCCTCTCTTGCAGAAGATAGGAACCAGATGGAGACCTATAGAGGCTGGTCCTGTCTCCTGCGGAAAGGAGTTCTATGGAGGCTGGTCACATCTTGCTGAAGATTAGGAACTGAATGGAGTCCTATGGAGGCTGGTTCCCTCTACTGCACTAGACCAGGAACCGGATAGAGTCCTGTGGAGGCTGGTTTCCTCTCCTGTGGAAGACCAGGAACCATTTGGATTCCTATGGAGGCTAGTTCCCTCTCCTGCAGAAGATCATGAACTGGATGGAGTCCTATGGAAGCTGGCTGACTCTCCTGCATAAGATTAGGAACTGGATGGAGTCCTATGGAGGCTTGTTGACTCTCCAGCAGAAGATCAGGAACCGGATGGAGTCCTTTAAAGGCTAGTTCCCTCTCCTGCTGAAGATCAGGAGCCCAATGGAGTCCTATGAAGGCTGGTTCCGTCTTCTGCAGCAAATCAGGAACTGGATGGAGTCTACTTCCCTCTCCTGCAGAAGATCAGGAACCAGATGGATTCCTATGGAGGCTGGTTCCCTTTTCTGCAGAAGATCAGGAAGCGGATGGAGTCCTATGGAGGCTGGTTCTGTCTTCTGCAGCAGATCAGGAACCAGATGGAGTCGTATGGAAGGCTGGTTGACTGTCCTGCAGAAGATCAGGAGCCCGATGGAGTCTGGTTCCGTCCTCTGCAGCAAATCCGGAACCGGATGGTGTCTACTTCCCTCTCCTGCAGAAGATAGGGAACCAGAAGGATTCCTATGGAGGCTGGTTCCCTCTCCTGCAGAAGATCAGGAAGTGGATGGAGTCCTGTTGAGGCTGGTTGACTCTGCTGGAGGAAAAAATGAAGCTGTTGCTACTAGAGATACTTGCTAACGAATCTTATCACAGGAGTGTCGGTCCTGACTTGAAGGCTCCTTTCTCTCTGATGTGATATATGGTGTACTTCTATCCTGAGCGTCTACACCCCTGACCCTATCTTCGACTGTGAGCAAATCAATCCTTTTTGTGGTTTCCCCTTAAAAGTGACTGGCGCCCATCGTTCTACATGTCCCACTATGCCTAAGAGACGTACCAAAGAGATGAAAAGTCAGCCCACCCGTCTCTGGGGTCACCGCTATTCCTCTGGGGTTCATGGGGGTGCTACATTACTGTTACGGATCCGCCAGGTGGTACCTCTGGCAGCCCACTAGGCGGAATCACACGGAGCGTGGAGTCTAAGTCCCGGTCTGCGTTTTCACCAGGGCCCCTGATGGTGGGGATGGACTTGGAGCAGAACCAGGACCAGGTCACGACCTCCGAGCAATACCACCAGTGGCAGAGGGAGCCTCCGGGGATTAGAGTAAGACAGGATAGAGCCAGATGTGAGGAGGCCGGCAGGACCAGGCAGGATAAACCGGCGGTGGTCACCGTGGGAAATGGCGAGGTACAGAGACGGCAGGCAGAGAGTGGTCAGGTCATACGCAGGGTCAGTTACCGGAGTCAGTCCGCAGAATGGTCAAACAAGCCGGGGGTCGGGATAGGAGAAGGCAGCGTAGTCAGGGGCAATCCAGGTCAAACACAGAAGAAGGCAGCATAGTCAGGTAATCCGGGTCAGGGCTGGAGCAGGCAGAAGGTCAAACAATCCGGGTCTTTAATCACAGGGTACAGGAACTACAGGTAACAGAGCAGACCTTGCGGCAATTTGTGACAGTGCAGGGCATCTTTAAATATCGCGCCCTGCACTGTCATTGGCCGCCCAGGACGCGCCCCCGGGCTGGCATTGGCCGCCCGAGGCGCGCCCGCGGCTCCTACTGCGCATGCGCGGCCTCCTGTCAGCCGCGGCCCGCCGGGACCTGGTGCCTGTGTCCCGGCGTGAGCCGCCGCTAGTGCGCATGCGCTGGGGAAGGAGCCGCGGCGGTCCGACAATTACATTGATAATTCCACACACAGATTATACCTCACACCAAATCCACACAAAACAAAAAAAAAAAAATACCAACAATTTGAGAAAGTTTTAATATTTATAAATATGAAATGATAAAGAATGATAAAAACCTCAATATTGAAGTAGAACATATGAGGCTCGATTCACAAAGCTTTCATACAAGTAGAAGGGTCCGCATTTTGGTCACGTGACTGTCCTTTTCTTTAGACTTATTTTCTGGATATATTGACATTATTTTTGACATTATTACTAAAGTAACAATTAAAGGGGAACTAGACCCATCAATTTGGGGCCCCATCCACACTTGACGATTTGGAGTCACGGGGTCAATTCTTTGTAGTCCTCTACATTTACATTGTGATGAAAAAATCAAGTCACATGTCCGTACATTTGACTCAGACCAAAGGTTTGAGCAAACCATAAATTAATAATTTTTTAATTATTTTAATTTTGTTTGTTTTTTAGTTTTAGTAGCCCTGATATCACACTTTTGAGACAGATTCCTCAGTCCTTCTCTTTGCAGCCTCAGCTTCACTGGACAGTGAACGAATGGGAAGTGCTCCATGCTGAGCAGCTTCCTGTTCATTTACATACTGAAACATGCAGCCCTATAGAGGCTGGTGCCCTCTCCTGCAGAAGATCTGGAACTGGATGGAGTCCTATAGAGGCTGGTGCCCTCTCCTGCAGAAGATCAGGAACCAGATGGAGTCCTATAGAGGCTGGTGCCCTCTCCTGCAGAAGATCATGAACTGGATGGAGTCCTATAGAGGTTGCTACCCTCTCCTGCAGAAGATCTGGAACCAGATGGAGCCCTATAGAGGCTGGTGCCCTCACCTGCAGAAGATCTGGAACCGAATGGAGTCCTATGGAGGCTGGTGCCCTCTCCTGCAGAAGATCAGGAACAGGATGGAGTCCTATAGAGGCTGGTGCACTTTCCTGCAGTAGATCAGGAACAGGCTGGAGTCCTATAGAGGCTGGTGCCCTCTCCTGCAGACGATCAGGAACCTAATGGAGCCCTATAGGGGCTGGTGCTCTCTCCTGCAGAAGATCTTGAACCGGATGGAGTCCTATAGAGGCTGGTGCCCTCTCCTGCAGAAGATCTGGAACTAGATGAAATTCTATAGAGGCTGGTTCCCTCTCCTGCAGAAGATCAGGAACCAGGTGAAGTCCTATAGAGGCTGGTGCCCTTTACTGCAGAAGATCAAGAACCAGGTGGAGCCCTTTAAAGGCTGGTGATTCCGATAATTTTGGTTCAGATATTTTTTTAATTGCACTTTCCAGGTTAATTTTCCACGTCTAGAACTTAATTCCCGTGAATTTTATCATGAAGCTCCCAAATTTGCTGTAATTGTACCACTTGGGCCATTTCCATCCCTTTCTTTCTTGAAAATCTGAGGCTCATGGGGCTACATGTTCCCTGGTAGGACTATATACTTGGAGACTTGTGTCCGCCTAACAGCGTAGCTGATTATGAGGGGCAACCACTCTGCATGCTCTATTTTATGGTATGCCAAATAGAAAAGAGAAGAATGGTGGACACTGCAAAATGGTTGGAAGGAGGAACTGTTGTAGTTATCTCGAACCTCCAAGAAGCAGAAGCAGCCAACAGAATCCATAAAGATTTGCCAGGATGGACCCCATTATAACCTCATTTTTTTATCCTCCAGGTATTCGATGGACTAAACAGTCCCGCCCCTCGCCGATAAAAGCCATCGTACATCGGTCAAGAGTCAGCAGGCGACTTCTCTCCGATTAGACTCATGTGATCTGTAAAACATTTACCACCGTCTGAAAGTTGTTAGGATGCTCTGAGCTGTGCCTTGCCATGTGTGCAAGAAGAGAGTACTTCTGAGTGAAACATTTCCCGCACTCTGTACATAAATAGGGACGCTCGCCTGAGTGACTTTTCTGGTGTTTGGCAAGGTCTCCTTTCCGAGAGAAGCGTTTGCCGCACTCCGAACATGAATAGGGACGCTCGCCTGAGTGAATTTTCTGGTGAGTAAAAAGGGTTTCCCTGGCAGTGAAACACTTCCCGCACTCTGAACATGAAAAAGGGCGCTCACCTGTATGAATTCTGTGGTGTCTAACAAGGCTCCCTTTTTTGTTGAAACATTTTCCGCACACTGAACATGAATGAGGCCGCTCGTCTGAGTGAATTCTCTGGTGAGTAGCAAGTTGTCCTTTATGAACAAAAGATTTCCCGCACTCTGAACATGAATATGGACGCTCGTCTGAGTGAATTCTCTGGTGTAGAAGAAGGGATTCTTTTTTGGAAAAAGTTTTTCCACACTCTGAGCATGAATAGGGACTCTCACCAGTGTGAGTTCTTTCGTGTCTACGAAGGTTTCCTTGGTCAGAAAAACATTTTCCGCACTCAAAACAGGAAAAAGGACGCTCGCCAGTGTGAATTCTCTGGTGTCTAACAAGGTATCCTTGGTCAGGAAAACATTTTCCACACTCTAAACAGGAATAGGGTCGCTCACCCGTATGAGTTCTCTGGTGGATACGAAGGTTTCCTTTGCTAGAAAGAGATTTCCCGCACTCTGAACAGAAAAAACTGACGCACACCCGTATGAATTTCTCAGATGTTTTTGAAGGCTTCCTTTTTCAGAAAAACATTTTCCGCACTCTGAACAGGAAAAGGGACGCTCACCGGTGTGAATTCTCTGGTGTACAACAAGGTTTTCTTTATTAGAAAAATTTTTTCCACACTCTGGACATGAAGGACGCTCAATCTTGTGAGAATTTTGGTGGTTAAGAAGTGATTTTTTCTTAGTGTATGTTTTCCCGCACACCAAACATGACAATGAGCTGCCTCCTGTGTGAGATCCCTCATGGCTTGAAGAGGATTTCTGGGGATCAAATGGATCTGTTGATCTGTCAGCACTGTGAGAACCTAGATGGGCATCTGAAGCCATAGTATGGGATTTATCAGAAGATTCCTCAGGATTAGAAGGATCCATTGATCTTAGATGGACATCTGAAGTCATAGTATGGGATCTATCAGAAGACTCCTCATGATTAGAAGGATCCATTGATCTTAGATGGACATCTGAAGTCATAGTATGGGATCTATCAGAAGATTCCTCAGGATTAGAAGGATCCATTGATCTTAAATGGACATCTGAAGTCATAGTATGGGATCTATCAGAAGATTCCTCAGGATTAGAAGCATCCATTGATCTTAGATGGACAGCTGAAGTCATAGTATGGCATCTATCAGAAAGTTCCTCAGGATTAGAAGGATCCGTTGATGTTGCCAACCAGTAAAATGTAATCTTCGTAGAATATTGAGTAATGTCTTCTGCAGTATAATCTGGAGATATATTAAGACGTCTCTCCGATGTATTCAGATTCCAAAAAGTACTGTCCATCTGACGAAAAACAATTTTTAATAATATATGTTATGTTTGTTTTTGTACGCCTTGTATTCAGAAGTCATGTCTATCATTGAACACTTTCCCAGAGCTCTGGCATTGAATTGGGAACAATCTTAACAGCAAACAATGAATATAAACTGGATCAGATGATACACCCGAACCATACTAGGTGACAGTAGTTGTGAGTTGGGAAAATTGTCATAAAGAATAGTGATGGACCTTCCTCCACCTCATTTCCTGAAAACATGACAACATACTGAAGAACGAAGAAATACAGTTCATATGAGGTACACCGGTGGAAGAAGGATGGAGTCTATAAACCAGAGGCTCTGGATGGACGGTTGGATAAATGGTTCTATATTTAGGACGTATCCGGTCTATAAACCAGAGGCTCTGGATGGACGGTTGGGTAAATGGTTCTATATTTAGGACGTATCCGGTCTATAAACCAGAGGCTCTGGATGGACGGTTGGATAAATGGCTCTATATTTAGGACGTATCCGGTCTATAAACCAGAGGCTCTGGATGAACGGTTGGATAAATGGTTCTATATTTAGGACGTATCCGGTCTATAAACCAGAGGCTCTGGATGGACGGTTGGGTAAATGGTTCTATATTTAGGACGTATCCGGTCTTTAAACCAGAGGCTCTGGATGGACTGTTGGATAATTGACTCTATATTTAGGACGTATCCAGTTTATAAACCATAAAAGACATCACGATGACGATATAGGAAGAGGACAGACATGATGGGGGGTTACTGGGTATAAATATAAAATAAGATCTCATTACCTCCTCAGTGTCATCCAGGGATGTCTTCTCTCTCCCAGAACTTCCTGTCTTTCCCTTATAGAACGCCTTTTCTTTTTCTTACATCACTTCCTGTTCCTACATGACATCACTTCCTATCCAAGCATTCCAAGCTCAGTAAGTGACATTGTCATCTTGTGGTGATTTTGACAACTGCATTCTACGTTACGTGTTGATATCCCGCCGTCTGCCCTGTAGCGCGTTCTCCGGTTCTATCTCATATATTATGACGCACATTATAATTCACCTAAAACTGAAACAATAATAAATAATTTGTGTCTCTATTTTTCGCCTGGAGCATTTTCAAAAATTTTCACACACACGTTAACATTTTTAGCCAGAAATATATTTAACCCCCAGAATATTATGTTTTATGAAAGCAGAGGCTCTGTAGGATAAAAATATGGCTGGATGGATCTTCTCTCATTTGACATCACAACGTTAGTTGTTGTGGTCCTGGGCTCCCATGGGAACCTGGGAGCCACAAAAGGGGGAGCACCAGAGAACTGAACAGCAGCAAGAGTCACGTAAAAGTGATTAGGTGGCCCTACAGCAACAGAGATAGATAGACATTATATATTGAGGAATGGAGATGGACCTTTCATATGGTGTCCAGTATCTCCTCCTCATTTGTTGGGAACATGACGTTATATTGAGGAACGGAGATGGACCTTTCATATGGTGTCCAGTATCTCATTTGTTGGGAACATGACGTTATATTGAGGAATGGAGATGGACCTTTCATATGGTGTCCAGTATCTCCTCCTCATTTGTTGGGAACATGATGTTATATTGAGGAACGGAGATGGACCTTCCATATGGTGTCCAGTATCTCCTCCTCATTTGTTGGGAACATGATGGTTATATTGAGGAATAGAGATGGACCTTTCATATGGTGTCCAGCATCTCCTCCTCATTTGTCGGGAGCATGACGTTATATTGAGGAACGGAGATGAACCTTTCATATGGTGGACAGTATCTCCTCCTCATTTGTCGGGAACATGACGTTATATTGAGGAACGGAGATGGACCTTTCATATGGTGTCCAGTATCTCCTCCTCATTTGTCGGGAGCATGACGTTATATTGAGGAACGGAGATGAACCTTTCGTATGGTGTACAGTATCTCATTTGTTGGGAACATGACGTTATATTGAGGAATGGAGATGGACCTTTCGTATGGTGTACAGTATCTCCTCCTCATTTGTTGGGAACATGACGTTATATTCAGGAATGGAGATGGACCTTTCATTTGAAGGACATCTCAGGGAGAAAAGTGCACCATGGAACAAAGTCATTGTGGTTAAAGTCCGATTAGAAATGCACAACCTGGAAAGAGTGCCAAATGAATTTCACCCACTGAACTCACTGTTCCACCCTCTCTACACATTGCTTTTCTTTTCTCCTGGAGAGAAGGGTCAGGAGTACAAAATGATAAGCGTGAAGGAGTCATGGGTGTGTAACCCACAGTGTTGGGGTCAAGAGGGGCAAAATCCTCCTTGCAAGCAAGATTCCCCTCGCTTTAACTTTTCAGCAAAAATCTCCCCTCGCAGCACGTCATTACTAGGATGGCGGGGAGGGGGGCATGTCATTAATAAGATGGTGCGGGCATGTAATGGGAGTATCTTGGCACCAGTGGAAGCAGCAGGTGGTAGTAGGGGGCCCCAGGTCAACTGTTGCATCGGGGCTCACAAGCTTCAAGCTACGCCTCCGCAGGTGACGTTGTTAGAGCCAAGTGGCTGAATTTGTTCTGGCATCAGACTTTGGGATTCCAAGGAAATCCGAGGACGTTCCTGTGGAATCCGGGATGGTTGAGCGGTATGAGGTCACCACCTTGTGATATATGAACACTGCAGCCTACATTATATGACATCATTTTCCCCTCTGCCCCTCAGGGGCCATCCTTCTATTCGGGTACATCGACGATTACACACACACAGATTATACCTCACATCACAGCCAGACACTACACAAAAAAAAGATAAACAACTGGACAGAGTTTTTATTATTTATAAATGTGAAACTAAAGAAAGAGGAAAAAAAAAATGGATGATTGAATACAACCCGTGAGGCTCAATTCACAAAGCTTTAATACAAGTAGAAGGGGCGAGATTTCAGCCATGTGACAGTTCTCCATTTTTTTGGGGGGGGGACTTTTTTTATTGATACTTTATTTTTACATTATTACTAAAAGTAACCATGAAATACCTTTTTACGAGCGCACTCACTGCTGACCGAGAAGAGCGCCGACCGGGCATGCTCAGTAACCCGCCACCTTCTTCCTTTCTTTGCAGTCCTCTACATTTGCCAACATCATTGTGATGGAAAAATCAAGTCGCACACGTCCGAACATTTTGCGTCTATTGCACCTTGCAGGTTCATTTTCTACAGAGAACCTCAAATACATATAACTCCGCCCACTTACAGTGTTCATACCTGTACAGATGCAGGGAAGAGATGGGAAGAAGGAACTAGGAGTGGAATCAGGAACAAGAGGAGCAGAGAAGAAGCAGTAGGGCGCCAAGATGCAGGACAAGGAGGAAGATCAGGATCAGAATAAATGGCACACAGTCTCGGACAGCAGAGCAAACCCTGAAGGCAGGGGAGGACCTACATACCCTCCCAGTAGCCAGCAGATCCCAGTAATCAGTTTCCACCTGATGCTGGTTGCTGGGAGGGTATTTAGGTCCCTCCCCTACTAGAGTCTGAGACCAGTTAAACTGACGATGCAGAGAAGAAGTAACTAGGACTGGAATCAGGAACGAAAGGCAGTAGGGCACAGGATGCAAGGCAGGAGCAATATCAGGGTCAGAATGCTGGGAGGGTATTTAGGTCCTCCACAACTAGTGCCTCTCGCCCCAGTGTTCCAGTGCCATTTATTGTTTTCCTGACCCCGATTTGCTCCTACCTTGCATCCTGTGCCCTGCTGCCTCTTGTTTTTGATTCCAGTCCTAATTCCCTCTTCTCTGCATCGCCAGTTTAACCGGTCTCAGTCTCTAGTAGGGGAGGGACCTAAATACCCTCCCAGCAGCCAGAATCAGGTGGAAAACTGAATACTGGGATTTTCTGGGAGGGTATTTAGGTCCTCTTCAACTAGTGCCTCTCGCCCCAGTGTTCCAGTGCCATTTATTCTGACCCTGATCTTGCTCCTGCCTTGCATCCTGTGCCCTACTGCCTCTTGTTCCTGATTCCAGTCCTAGTTCCCTCTTCTCTGCATCGCCAGTTTTAACTAGTCTCAGTCTCTAGTAGGGGAGGGACCTAAATACAGACCTGTACAGATGCAGAGAAGAGATGGGAGGGGAGAACAAGAGGAGCAGAGAAGAGGCAGTAGGGCACAGAATGCATGACCAGGAGGAAGATCAGGATCAGAATAAATGGCATGCAGTCTCAGGCAGCAGAGAAAAGCACTGGAGTGAGAGGCACTAGTAGGGGAGGGACCTAAATACCCTCCCAGCAGCCAGAATTAGGTGGAAATTAAATACTGGGATCTTCTGGCTGCTGGGAGGGTATTTAAGTCCTTCCCTGCTTTCCACTCCAATGTTTTGCTCTGCTGCCAGAGACTGCGTGCCATTTATTCTGATCCTGACCCTGATCTTGCTCCTGCCTTGCATCCTTTGACCTATTGCCTCTTGTTTCTGATTCCAGTCCTAGTTCCCTCTTCTCTGCATCGCCAGTTTAACCGATCTCAGTCTCTAGCAGGGGAGGGACCTAAATACCCTCCCAGCAGCCAGTACCAGGTGGAAACTGAATACTGGGATCTGCTGGCTGCTGGGAGGGTATTTAAGTCCTCCCCTGCTTTCCACTCCAATGTTTTGTTCTGCTGCCAGAGCCTGCGTGCCATTTTTTCTAATCCTGAACCCAATCTGGCTCCCGATTCCTGTGCCCTATGAACTACAACCTTCCGCTCTGCGAAGCACAGTGCTACCATCAGGCGATCCAGGTCCTGACACCTTACCCGGTGGTCCGTTCTTCTATTAGGTTACATTGATCATTTCAGACACCTCACGCCAAATCCAGACGATGCAAAAAAAATAAAATTTAAAAAAAAAAAAACAACCAATTGATAGTTTTAATATTTATTATTCTAAAATAAATGCGAATCTACAGAATGCAAAACAAACCGAATATTGAAACCCCACATACGAGGCTCGATTCACAAAGCTTTATACACGTGGAAGGGTCGTTATTTTATCCACGTGGCTGGGATGATCAAATCTCTTCAGACTTTTTTTATTAATTTTTTTAACCCCTCGCCCTCCATAGGATTCACCCCCCCCCCCGCCCCCCCCCCCCCCCCCTTCCTGACCAGGCCATTTTTTGCCTTACGGCGCTGCGTTACTTTAACTGACAATTGCGGTCATGCAATGCTGCACCCAAATTAAATTTAAGTCCTTTTTTTCCCGCGAATGGAGCTTTCTTTCGGTGGTATTTGATCCCCTGTGCGTTTTTTTTAATTTTTTGCGCCATAAGCAAAAAAAACACCGACCAATGATGAGAAAAAAAACAATATTTTGGAGTTTTTGCTATAAAACACGTCCAGTAAAAAAAATTTAAAAAATCTAATTTCGACAAATTGCATCATAAATGTATTCCGCTCCGTGTCTTTGCTAAAAAAAAAAAAAAAATTGAAATTTGACCGATTAATTTTGAGAAAAAAACAATATTTTTGATTTTGCTATTAAAAACGTCCAGTAAAAAAAATTCTTAAAAAATCAAATTTCGTCCAAAATGTATTGTCTAAGTTAAAAAAAAAAAGATGAAATTTGACCAATTATTTTTGAGAAAAATATAATATTTTTGATTTTTCGCTACTAAACGTCCTGGAAAAAAAAAAAAAAAAAAAATCAAATTTTAACATAAATTTCATCATGAATGTATTCCGCTCCGTGTCTTTGCTAAAAAAAAAAAAAAAAAATCCCGATATTTTTGTGTAAATTAATTGGTTTACGCTGAAAGTTATAGCGTTCTACAAATGTATTCCGCTCCGTGCGGGATACGTTTTTTTTTTCTACTAGTACAAATGGCGGGGGTTTTTTTTTTCTACTAGTAATGGTAGTGATCAGCGACTTGTAGCGGGACTGCAGTGGGCATTCTAACACTGGGGGGGGAACTAACTTGGTGTCACTGACATCCCCAGTGACACCAATACAGTGATCAGTGCTAATAAAAAGCACCAACACTGTACTAATGGCACTGGGCAGGAAGGGGTTAACATGGGGGGGCGATCAAAGGTTCACTGTATGCTGGGAGTGGTTTACTAGGGGGCGGGGTCTATTACTAGGGGCGGGGTCTGTGTGCTTCACTGTACTCACACTGCTCTTGATGGCTGTGCTGTGCAGTGTGCCCGAGCTGACAGGGAGGAGGACTGTTTGTAAACAGAACAATCTTCCTCCCCGTCGGTGATCTTCAGGCATCGGTGGATAAATACCAGCCGAAACCCGGTGATTGACATGCGCGGGCAGGTAGCATGCGTGCGCCCCCTACCCCGAAACGCACAATGGCGTATATCTGCTATAGGGCGGTCCTTAATTATTATTTAATGATTGAACTTTCCACGTATAGGACTTCATGTACACGTAACTCCGCCCACTTACAGCGCCCACACCTGTACAGGAGTATTTCGGAGATGTAATACGGATGTGGCGCTGGAATTACGGGGGGGAGGTGCGTCCTGGATTTCTCTTTCATTGGATTTATGGGACCCGATATTATCTTTAGTATAGGACGGACTCGATTCTTTATGACCCCGCCCAGATTAGATTGCAGTTACTGGAGGCTCCTCCCACCATTTGGAGTCTCCAAGAAACTGAAGAAGCCAATAGAAGACTCCGCCCTAATAAACTAATAAATAAAAAAAAAATCATGCCTTTTGCCAGCATGAACCCTGTCAGAAACCCATTTTTTACCCTCCATTTTCTATGGACTAACCCCCCCCCCCCCCCCTGATATAAAAGTCAGCGCAGCGGGCGTCTTCTCTCCGATTAGACTCATGTGATCTGTAAAACATTCACCACCGTCTGAAAGTTGTTGGGATGCTCTGAGCTGTGCCTTGTCATGTGTTTAAGAAGCGAGTGTTTTGCAGTGAAACCTTTCCCGCACTCTGTACATAAATAGGGGCGCTTACCCAAGTGAGTTCTCTGGTGTTTAACAAGGTATCCCTTCTCAGTGAAACATTTCCAGCACTCAGAACACGAATAAGGACGCTCGCCTGAGTGAATTTTCTGGTGAGAAATGAGGCTCTCTTTGGTGGTTAAACATTTCCCGCACTCTGAACATGAATAAGAACGCTCGCTTGAGTGAATTTTCTGGTGAGCAACAAGGATCTCTTTGGCAGTGAAACATTTCCCGCACTCTGAACATGAATAAGGACACTCACCTGTGTGAATTCTCGTGTGTTTAACAAGGTAGTCCTTGGAATTGAAACATTTCCCGCAATCTGAACATGAATAAGGACGCTCACCCGTATGAATTCTCTCATGTCCAACAAGGCCTTCTTTTTGGATGAAACATTTCCCGCACACCGAACATGCATAAAGACTCTCACCTGAATGAATTCTCTGGTGTTTAACAAAAGTATGCTTGGCAGTGAAATATTTCCCGCACTCTGAACATGAATAAGGATGCTCACCTGAGTGAATTCCCTGGTGCACAAGAAGGAGTTCTTTACTGGTAAAACCTTTTCCACACTCCAAACATGAATAAGGATGGTCACCGGTGTGTTTTCTTTCGTGTTTACGAAGGTTTCCTTGTTCTGAAAAACATTTCCCGCACTCTAAACATGAATAGGGACGCTAACCTGTATGAATTCTCTGATGTTTAAGAAGGTTTCTTTTTTCAGAAAAACATTTTCCACACTCCGAACAGCAAAAAGGACGTTCACCCGTGTGAATTCTCTGATGTTGAAGAAGTTTGTAATTCTTAAAAAAACATTTCCCACATTCCAAACACAAAAAGGGACGCTCACCGATGTGAATTCCTTGGTGTTAACGAAGGCTTCCTTTATCATAAAAACATTTTCCGCACTCTGAACAGCAAAAGGGACGCTGACCAGTGTGAATTCTCTCATGTACCTCACAGTTCTGTTTCTTTGAAAAACATTTCCCACACTCTGAACATGAATAGGGACGCTCAGCCTTGTGAGATTTCTGGTGTTTAAGAAGAACTTTTTTCTTAAAGAATGTTTTCCCGCACTCCGAACATGAAAATGAGCTCCCTCCTGGCTTGAAGAGAATTTCAAATGATTGGATGGATCTGTTGATCTGTCAGCACTGTGAGAACTTAGATAGACATCTGAAGTCATATTATGGGATTTATCAGAAGGTTCCTCAGAATTAAAAGGATCCATTGACCTTAGATGGACATCTGAATTCATAATATGGGATCTGTCAGAAGGTTCCTCAGGATTAGGATCCATTGGTCTTAGATAGACATCTGAAGTCCAAGTATAGGATCTGTCAGAAGATTCCTCAGGATTAGAAGGATCCATTGACCTTAGGTGGACATCTGAAGTCATAGTATGGGATCTGTCAGAAGGATCCTCAGGTTTAGGATCCATTGGTCTTAGATGGACATCTGAAGTCATAGCATTGGATTTATCAGATGATTCCTCAGGATTAGAAGGATCCATTGATCTTAGATGGACATCTGAAGTCATAGTATGGAATTTAGTAAAAGATTCCTCGGGATTAGAGGGATCCATTGATGTTGGCAACCAGTAAAATGTTACTTTTGTAGAACATCACTATTTTCTGCAGTGCAATCTTTAAAAATAAGACATCTCTCTGATGTTTTTAAATTCCAAAATACTGTCCATGTTCTGGAAAACAATTTTAATATACGTTATGTTTGTTTTTATACTTTATATCTTCTATTCAGAAGTCATGTCTATCATTCAACACTTTCCCAGAGCTCTGGCATTTAATTGGGTGCAATCATAACTGCAAACCACAAATCTAAACCAGATTAGATAATACACCCAAACCATACTAGGTGACAGTAGATGTGCATCGAGGACATTGTTATCATGAAGAATAGTGAGGGACCTTCCTCCACCTCTATATTTAGGACGTATCCGGTCTATAAACCAGAGGCTCTGGATGGACGGTTGGATAAATGGTTCTATATTTAGGACGTATCCGGTCTATAAACCAGAGGCTCTGGATGGACGGTTGGATAAATGGTTCTATATTTAGGACGTATCCGGTCTATAAACCAGAGGCTCTGGATGGACGGTTGGATAAATGGCTCTACATTTAGGACGTATCCGGTCTATAAACCAGAGGCTCTGGATGGACGGTTGGATAAATGGTTCTATATTTAGGACGTATCCGGTCTATAAACCAGAGGCTCTGGATGGACGGTTGGGATAAATGGTTCTATATTTGGATGTATTCGGTCTATAAACCAGAGGCTTTAGGACGTTATAAATGGTCTATAAGGACATAGGTTTATAAACCAGAGGCTGGATGGACGGTTGGATAAATGGTTCTATATTTAGGACGTATCCGGTCTATAAACCAGAGGCTCGGATGGAGGTTGGATAAATGGTTCTATATTTAGAACGTTCCGGTCTATAAACCAAGGTTCCGGATGGACGGTTGGATAAATGGTTCTATATTTAGGACGTATCCGGTCTATAAACCAGAGGCTCCGGATGGACGGTTGGATAAATGGTTCTATATTTAGGACGTATCCGGTCTATAAACCAGAGGCTCCGGAGGGACGGTTGGATAAATGGTTCTATATTTAGGACGTATCTAGGCACATATTAAATTATAACTCCAATATACAGTATGTGATGTGTCAGTAGTTGTGGATGATGGAGATAAAAGATGTCACAATGACGATGGAGGATGAGGACAGACATGATGGCAGGTTTACTGGGTGTAAATATAAAATATCTTACCTCCTTGGTGTACTCCAGTGAAATCTCCTTTCTACCTCCTTCTGTTCTCCACAACAACTTCCTATCCTTCCCTTATATAACGCCTTGTCTTACATCACTTCCTGTTCCTACATTACATCACTTCCTGTCTGAGCATGCTATGGGTAGTAAGGGATATCACCATCTTGTGGTGATTGTAATAACCGCATTCCTACTTTACATTTTTATACTCTGCCCCCTGATGCGTGTTCTCCTGTTATATATCTCATACATGATGACGTGCTCACATTGTAATTCACCTAAAACTAAATTAATGATAAAAAATGTGTATCTCTACTTTTAAGCCCCTGCAGGGTCGTCTTAATAGCATCATGAGTAAAGGAATGCACTGGGGCCCCAGCCAGCCTGCCCCGATTTACATACCGACTCTCAAGAAATGAAGAATAATTAGTCGATAGAATGATACATATTTGTTAGGACTTGCAATAAAATTGATTTTAAACAATAAGAAAACATGTCGTGAAGTCAAAGACTAATCAACACAAATGACACTCTATGGGGGGGGGGCAGAGGGGCACAGTATGGGGCAGTCAGGAGGGTACCATACGGGAGAGGTCAGGAGGGCACGGTACGGGGGGGTCAGGAGGGTACGGTACGGGGGGGGGGGTCAGGAGGGCATGGTATGGGGGGGTCAGCCGGAGGGCACGGTACGGGGGAGTCAGAAGGGCACGGTACGGGGGGGGGGGTGGGTCAGGAGGGCACGGCACGTGGCGAGTCAGGAGGGCACGGTATGGGGGGGAGTTAGGAGGGCACGGTACAGGGGGGGGGTCAGGAGGGCACGGTACGGGGGGGGTCAGGAGGGCACGGTACGGAGGGGAGTCAGGAGGGCACGGTACGGGGGGAGTCAGGAGGGCACGGTACGGAGGGGGAGGGTCAGGAGGGCACGGTACGGGGGGAGTCAGGAGGGCACGGTACAGGGGGGGAGTCAGGAGGAGGGCACGATACAGGGGGGAGTCAGGAGGGCACGGTACGGGGGGAGTCAGGAGGGCACGGTCGGGGGAGAGTCAGGAGGAGGGCACGGTCCGGGGAGAGTCAGGAGGGCACGGTCCGGGGGGAGTCAGGAGGGCACGGTACGGGGGGGATCAGGAGGCACAATACTGGGATCAGGAGGGCACAGTACGGGGGAGAGTCAGGAGGGCACGGTACAGGGGGGGAGTCAGGAGGGCACAGTATGGGGGGGTCAGGAGGGCAGAGTATGGGGGGAGAGTCAGGAGGGCACGGTACAGGGAGGAGTCAGGAGGGCACGGGTACAGGGAGAGTCAGGAGGGCAGGGTACGGGGGAGTCAGGAGGGCACAATACTGGGATCAGGAGGGCACGGTACAGGGGGGGTCAGGAGGGCACGGTATGGGGGAGAGTCAGGAGGGCACGGTACAGGGAGAGTCAGGAGGGCAGTCAGGAGGGCACGGTACAGGGGGGAGTCAGGAGGGCACGGTACGGGGGGGAGTGGAGGGCACTGGTAACATGGTACGGGGAGAGTCAGGAGGGCACGGTACAGGGGGGGAGTCAGGAGGGCACGGTACAGGGGGGAGTCAGGAGGGCACGGTACAGGGGGAGAGTCAGGAGGGCACGGTACGGGGGAGAGTCAGGAGGGGGTACGGGGAGAGTCAGGAGGGCACGGTACGGGGGGAGTCAGGAGGGCACGGTACAGGGGGAGAGTCAGGAGGGCACGGTACGGGGGGAGTCAGGAGGGCACGGTATGGGGGGAGTCAGGAGGGCACGGTACGGGGGGAGTCAGGAGGGCACGGTACGGGGGGGAGTCAGGAGGGCACGGTACGGGGGAGAGTCAGGAGGGCACGGTATGGGGGAGAGTCAGGAGGGCACGGTACGGGGAGAGTCAGGAGGGTACTGTACGGGGGGAGTCAGGAGGGCACGGTACGGGGAGAGTCAGGAGGGGCACGGTACGGGGGGGAGAGTCAGGAGGGCACGGTACAGGGGGGAGTCAGGAGGGCACGGTACGGGGGGAGTCAGGAGGGCACGGTACGGGGGGAGTCAGGAGGGCACGGTACAGGGGGGGAGTCAGGAGGGCACGGTACACGGGGGAGTCAGGAGGGGACGGTCAGGGGGAGTTCAGGAGGGAGGTACAGGGGGAGAGTCAGGAGGGCACGGTACAGGGAGAGTCAGGAGGGCACGGTAACAGGGGGGAGTCAGGAGGGCACGGTACAGGGGGGGGGAGTCAGGAGAGGGCACGGTACGGGGAGAGTCAGGAGGGCACGGTACGGGGGAGTCAGGAGGGCACGGTACGGGGGGGGGGAGTCAGGAGGGGGTACTGGGAGTCAGGTCAGGAGGGCACGGTAGGGGGGAGTCAGGAGGGCACGGTAGGGGGAGAGTCAGGAGGGCACGGTACGGGGGGTCAGGAGGGTACGGTAGGGGGAGCAGGAGGGCACGGTACAGGGAGAGGTCAGGAGGGCACGGTACAACGGGGGGGAGTCAGGAGGGCACGGTAGGGGGAGAGTCAGGAGGGCACGGTACAGGGGGGGGAGTCGGAGGGCACGGGGGAGTCAGGGGGCACGGTACGGGGGGAGTCAGGAGGGCACGGTACAGGGGGGAGTCAGGAGGGCACGGTACGGGGGGGGAGTCAGGAGGGCACGGTAGAGTCAGGAGGCACGGTACAGGGGGGAGAGTCACGGTACTGTTACGGGGGGAGTCAGGAGGGCACGGTACGGGGAGAGTCAGGAGGGGGCACGGTACGGGGGAGAGTCAGGAGGGCACTGTACAGGGGGGAGTCAGGAGAGGCAGAGTCAGGTACAGGGAGAGTCAGGAAGGGCACGGTTACGGGAGGGGAGAGTCAGGAGGGCACAGGTACATGGGGGGAGTCAGGGAGGCACAGTACAGGGAAGGAGTCAGGAGGGCACGGTACGGGGGAGAGTCAGGAGGCACAGTACAGGGGGGAGTCAGGAGGGCACTGTACAGGGGGGAGAAGTCAAGCAGGCACGGCACGGGGAGAGTCAGGAGGGCACGGTACAGGGGGGAGTCAGGAGGGCACGGTACAGGGGGGAGTCAGGAGGGCACGGTATGGGGGAGAGTCAGGAGGGCAACGGCACGGGGAGAGTCAGGAGGGCACGGTACAGGGGGGGAGTCAGGAGGGCACGGTACAACGGGGGGGAGTCAGGAGGGCACGGTAAATACAGGGGGAGTCAGGAGGGCACGGTATGGGGGAGAGTCAGGAGGGCACGGTACAGGTGGAGAGTCAGGAAGGCACGGTACGGGGGGGAGAAGTCAGGAAGGGCGAACCGGTACGGGGGGAATCAGGAGGGCACGGTACGGGGGAGAGTCAGGAAAGGGGCCACGGTAACGGGGGGAGTCAGGAGGTCCCCCCCCCGGTACAGGGGGTTATCAGGAGGTTACTTGTACGGGGGGGGAGTCAGGAGGGCACAATACCGGTCAGAAGCAAACTGGTAACGGGGAGAGTCCAGAAGGAGGGCACGGTACGGGGAGAGAGTCAGAAGGGCACGGTACGGGGGGGGGGGGAGTCAGGAGTTCCCCAGTACGGGGGCCACAGTACGGTGGGGGAGTCCCCAGGAGGGCAACGGTACCAGGGGGGGGAGTCCAGAAGTGCACGTTAATGGGAGAGTCAGGAGAGGCACGGTAGGGGAGAGTCCAGGAGGGGCACGGGACGGGGAGAGTCAGGGGGCAGGTAGGGGGGGAGTCAGGAGGGGAGGGGGGGGTTAGGGGG